GTCACCTGCCGCCGGTGAGGGGATTTCGCCTGCCCAAGGCGGAGCACCGGGGTTGGGCGCCGGCAGGGCTCGGTGCGCGGACGTTGGGGCCGGGGGGGGGCTCGGCCAGCCGGGGAGTAGCCACGGATTTGCCGTGGGCTTGTAAGGAGGTGGGAATTTCCCCCAGGAAACCGCTGCCCGGCTGGTGTTTTAAAGCAGCGCGTGGTAGACAAGCCATACAACTGCCGGTCTGACTTCGAGCAGGGTACTGTTGTAACAGATTCAACACGTGGCCGATTAATGATTAAAAGCAAGCAATGGATTCAGCATCAAGTGTGCAGCTTGATTTTACATCAGCCAGCATACATTACACCAGCATTTTACGCTGCTACAGTTGTTGCTGCATTTATTTCAACATCTGCTACTTGAGAAAAATATCAATTAACTGGAAAAGGATCCAGAGATGATCCATAACAATTAGAGAGCACAGCGAAAACTGAAAGACTGGACTGTTTTCTTTAAGCAGCAATGGCCAGGAAACAAATTTAGTAAGAGCTCCTCAGTTTCAGAGGCAGGCATGACAAGATCTAATAGCTTTCACACAGTTCTAAACTTATAAAAATCAAAGTATCCCAGATGACATTTTCCACATTTGTTCACCTCTGATGTGCTTCATATTTCAAAGTTTCATAACAACTTAATTTAAACAGTATAATTTGAATTTTGGGACCACAAAGACTGAAACAACCAGGGTAGTAAGTAAGCCAGGAGACATTTCAGTGCTGTGCCTCTGCTTCTATTACATTAAATAATTCCGGACACTCTTCTGGCAGGCAGCATATTAGTACTCTTTGCTCTGATTCTGTGATATTGATTACAGAAATCAAGTACAGGTATTTAGGAACACTAGTATATTCTAATCAAAGCAATCTGGGTAATAAATAATAAATTCTTGCATCTTCAAACAACATGCTTTGGAAGGCATGCTTTACCGTCCAGCATAAAGCAGCTGCTCCTCAAAGGGGCATTCCAGAGAAGATCTCTGTGCCTTTACCTTAGTCTTCCTTTACCAAAGGTAATGCATTTTCTTAGGACAGCTGATGTCTTTGGGGAAAAAAAAAAAAAAAAAAAGATACCCTAGCCCTTCTTCCACATCTTCAGTGGTGTTGCTGGCTTGTCTGGGTTCCCGAGCCCATTCATCTCCCACAGAAGGCGGTGCCCTTTGAACAATCTGTTCCAGTTTTGAATGATGCTGAAGCTACAGAGAGTGGTACAACAGCAGAAACAGCAGTAAGCCCTCTTGCTCTCCTTTTCAGACTCATTCAACTGTTCCCGAGTACAAACCTGAGAGCATGCTCCGCTTTGTTTGACTGCAGGTCAGGAAAGGTGTTGAAAATAAGAAAATACTTTCCACTATGTTTCTGACCCCAGCTGCACATTTAATAGGTAATTTGGCTATTCTCAGAACCTACATGCATGTTGTTGAATTTACATATTTAGTGTTTCTAAAATTACAATGAGAATAGCATAACTTTGTTTATTCTATTTCTTTGCACTTGTTTCTTCTGTCTTAGCACTGTAATCAACAAATAGCTATAGTTCATCCACTGTCCTTGACAAAGAACAGGACAGTCCCAAGGCCAATAAAACAACTAGACCAGTTCAACATTTTCACCTTGTTACCTAGAATTGCAACTTCTGCATTTTATAAACACCTAAGTAAAAAAGGATTTAACTTCAGAATTTATTAAACATTCATTTTGGTTGGTGTAAAATATAAGAGAATAGGTTTATAGCACAGTTTTTACATTTCTGGGAATAGCAATGACAATTCCTCCATATGGCTTTTACTTTGACCCATACACCCCATCCCACCCTCAAAGAGAACATAAGTAGCAATAGGTTCTTCAGTTAAAGCCACAGAAAAACTGTAGGAATTAGCTCCATGTTTCATGTATTAAGTCCACCATTATCTGAACTTCTATTTTTAAAGAACTTTGTAGATTTTTCTCCTTGCAAACACTTATTTTTTTCCTTTTAATTTGTTCACATGGCCTTGGTCTCAGCCTGATTTTAATAACTTAAGTTGGTGAAAAGTAGTCATGCCTCTCTTGACTAATAGAAGTTCACTGCAGAATAACATTACAAGATTACAGAAAGAAACAGGCCAGGTTTTGGGTATTTCAAAACAGCGTAACCAAAAAATGTATGCATTTGCCAGTTTTCCTTCATGCAGACCTAATAATTACTTTACAGAGTGATTAGGTAACTTATACCACATACTCCAGAAATAACTGAAACATTATGAAGAGAGTGAAAATAATCTGTGATCAAGAAAAGATGCAACTGCTTACTGACAGCATGTAATTCATATACTGACAGAGTATTTTCATAGATAGTTTTGGTGTTCAAAAGCAGAAAATTATCTATGATTTCCCTTCACATCAGAGTTAGTCTTCCACACAAATTCACATCAGGTTTTGCAGTGCTCTCCCTTGAAGAGTCATGCTATGCCTTCTTGGGGTATCTCCCACAGTTCTCTATACTGTAGTAAACAGAGATGCTCAGTAAATAAGTTCATAACTCATTGAAAAGGCATTTATTTGTTCCATAGGACACACAGGTGAAGAACACTTATCAGGATTCACACGGTTTAACCTGCATCTTTACTACAGATTTTGCAGATAATATGCTTGAATGAAAGTGAATTAATGAATCATGGATTACTCCTAGCCACACCTCACAAAGCTGCCCTCTAAGGTAATTAAAAAAAATGCAGAAAAGGTGAACACTGGTGCTCAGTTATGATAAAAGTTATTCAAGAGAGATGTTGGTGTGAGGTAACAAGTCAAGTAGCAGATTATGTTTCCCTGACTCCAAGAATAGAAAAAGTGTTAAAAGAAAAATACAATAACGAAACAATGTACTGTTTTATCTGTACCTTTAATCAAACCTTAAGTTGATATATGCAAGTTATTTACCTAACTATCAGAATAAACAATTTCAAACTTTAAATCTCTTACATTATTCGGAAAGCAAGAAGGGAAGCTTAGGTAAACTAACCATGTTCTTTAGTCTTTCCTAAAAAAGCGCAAGAGATGCTGTAAAATGAGGTGAAATCACATGAGCTAGCCTCAGGAGCCTAAAATGGGTTTTCTTACTCTCTCAAATCCTTTCCCTGGCCCTGCTCTTGCCTCTGTCCACCTGCCAGCTCTGACATACATCAGGCTCTTGCCGAGTCGGATAATTCATTAACCCAGACAAAAATTAAGTCCTCTCCCCTGGGGCTAGTGAGTTGTTTTGCAGAAAATCCTAACAAGCATTACCACCAAGGCAAATTAAGTGTTGAAAGCAAACAGGTAGCAGAGAGAAAGGAGCTCAAACTATATAGGACAAAAGTAATTTATGGCAATATAAAATATGCTACAGGCTTTAACTTCTTAGAAAAAAAGTTTCTGGCATTTCAAGACTGCAGAAAATCTTGGATTACTGTTGTGGAGGCATACGATGAGCCAAGATTTAATGTTTCAAAAGCAGACCCAGACTATTTTGTTTGTCCACGATCAAAAATGAGTTTAATAGTATTGTGTGTGCTATGGTATTAGTAGCGGAATAGAAATATAGCTAAAAAAAAGAGAATTACAATGAAAGTACTGAGCAAATAATACAAAGAACAGAGTAAATATCAAACCTGAAACATAAAATGATAAGATTAAGACAGAACAAAGAGGAATAGTAGACACCTGTATAGCTCTTGCACATGAATAAAAGCCTGGCCCAACTCAGTGCTAAAGACAACACTCAAGCCAGTTTTATTTAAGGTGGTGACACACCCCCACCCCCAAATCCCATGGTTTTATACCATATTAGCATTTTAACAATACCTGGGGAAATAAGCCATTAATATAGGAAATTTCCATGGCACATGGAGGCATTTAGATAAAGTTGAAGGCATAAAGAAGTATCAACAGCTACTTTCCCACTGCCACAAACATTTTTATGCTTTTTATATCAACAACTGTCTGACACACACGAAGCTGCTCCCACTGGGCACCTGAACAGCCTGAGCTCAAAGGGAGATGTAGAAGACAAGTCATCTCTTCAGAAATATCCTGAAATTATGTAATTTTCACTATAATTGACAGGGATAACATCAGCCTTTGAAGAAGCAGAGATAGATGTTCCATCCAATGTCTGGTCACTCAAAGACAGGTGACAGCATTCATTTACCTCTAAGCAAGCACATAATCTTGAAACAGACCGAAGTAGGGGGAAATGCTGGAGACTGATGAATATTTGCCTTTCTCCTTATATGCACTGCAAGAGCTAGACTCCCAAGAAATGCCTGATCAAAGTAGAACTTGTTGGCAATGGTAGGAAGATAATAAGGCGAACAGTTCTGGCTCAAAGGGACTGACATTGAAACCAGCATCCCCTTTATCTCCCCATGGGCATTTCCACTTGCAACTCAGATTTCCATTCCACAGCAATGCATCTCTTGTGAAGATCAGGAAAAAACCCTACTCCCTGTGTTGTGGGAGGCATAGCAATAGGGAGCAGCGCTTACACAACTAAACTAATTCTGCAGCCACAAGAACTCTCATGCTGCTTTAAGAAGTGATTTTCCTAGCACAGCTTAACACCAGGAGCTTGTGCCAGAGCCAGTATTGGAGAATATCAATGAGGATGCACAGTCTCATCTTATGGCACCAAATATAAAATCTACCTTGACTACAGAGCATCATCACTTAAATACTTAAAGATGCTCTACCTACTTAACAAATGAAGGGGAAAGATCCCAGCCTCTTCCAACTCCTGAATACATCAAGAAAAACCATCAGAGACCTCAGTTCATTTTAATAAAAGTAAAGAGCAATGATACTCTGCTTGTGGGCCTTTTAAGATATACCTTCAGGGTACACTTTGAATACTGGTATCAAAGGCAGAAGAGTAAGACAGAGCTGTATGGTTTCTTGTTGGTCCAGCTTTGTTGTCCCAGGATACTTTTCCTTTCTTACCCATTTGCAGTTTAAAGGGCCTGCAGCCAGAAGGTACTTTCTCCTAAGTTAATGGACGCACTTTCTACATGATACAGTATTAGAATAAATACTGGGGTGAGTTGACAGAATGAACCAAAGAAGTGACAACATAGCAGAAGCCTCAGATGGTAGTGAAGTTTTATACAAAAGTAAGAAAAGCTACCACATTTGGGAAGTTCAACTACATAAAACTGTTTACATCCAGCAACTGAGCAGACATGAAACGGCACTAAGTGCACTTTGCATTGTACATGTTAGTTACAATGTCCTAACAGGCACAAGGATATCTTTTCAGTAAGACTAGGAGATTCTCCTGACAACAACAGTTTTTTCCAGTGCTCCTCCCCATTCAACATCAGCTGCAACAGTGCTTAGAAACTCTCAAGACATGGCACAAAATAAACATTGTACTTTGCTGCAGACAGTATTTTCTCATAAAACATTAAGAATTTATAGGCTTACTACTAAGAACTGCAAGGTATAAAAAAGGAATTACAATTCACTGTCATTAACACTAGAGAAAATACACCTTTCACCAACTCTAAGGTATTCAGTCCTGGCAGCCAGATCCATTCAGTAAAAAGGCTATTATTCTGTGCCTAATCACAGAGCAAAGATTCCTCCTCAGCATGCAGATAAAAGGGATAGGCTATCATCCATAACTACATAATGTCTCTGACTGAAAGCAGTCATCCTGAATTTTTTCATGCTTGCTCACTTTCAGAAGAATCTTAAGGCTGCCCAGGGAAGACATTGCAGCAGCCTTCTTCAGTTAATTTTCTCAGTGGGTTGAGACCATGACTCTCCCTGCTTTCCAGGTACAGTAAGTGAATACCTGCATAAAAATATCCTTCAGCTGTCAAGAGCCAAGTACCTCTAGCCGTTTCTTTTGAGAGTATGCTTGAGCTAACATCACTGCTGATAGCACCAGTCCTATCTTTGATCCAAGCCATTACCTCCATACACCAAAGCAAAGCTTTATGTGGCTGCAAAGACTAAGGAAACTGAACCTGATTAAATCCAGCCCAACCAAGAAACAAACATCCCTGCTTATGTTTTGTTCACACTCATATGTATTTATATATAGATGAGCAGAGGGTTTCGTCACTTATCAGCCCTTCCTCCTCAATCCAGCTCTCAGTTCCAGTTCTATTTCAGTATGTCTGTGTACATAATTTTAAAGTACTATTTAAGCAATTAACAAAACTGAAGTGGTATTATAGCTTGTAGAACAAGATGTTGTACTTCATTTTAGCAAAATATTACAGAACTTGTCATCTCTTTGGAGACACCTGTAACATGCCTCCAGATAGCAATTCAGAACAGGAATGCAGTATGAATTATAAATCAACTCCTGCAGAAGCCCCTCTCAATTATCAGCAGAGATTAAAGAGACCCACACCAATTATGGCGTCTTAAAGTTACCTGGTATGAATCCTATTCCATTTCTAGTAGCAGCTTACCATGTTGCTTTTTACAGTTACATGTATGAGCTCTAATGTGGAGATTTAAGTCCCTGGCTATAAAATATTTGACAGTTTAAAAACCTAAACCAAGGTAATCAAAATTATTCACTGCAGAGCTGGAATCAGCAGCAAATTTATGCTTTGCCAATGTAATGGAACTTTTCTCTAAGGTACTCAGAAATCTTTAAAAAGCTACAATTTCAGACTAAACATTAGTCTCATTTGGATATAAAATACTATCATTCATAATTTGCATCCCCCTGAAAATACCCCCAGAAGCTGTATAGGATATTCACTTTAAAACTTTGTAAGCTGATCCATCTGCTCTTCATAGGTCTAACTTAGACATGTCACACAACAGTTTTATGTGCATTGTGGTTTCAAGTATCTTCTTTTGTTATTTAAGAGTGTACATTTTGGTTTACTAGAGCATTGTTTGAAAATGCACAATCTGATTTGTTTTAACACAGAATTTCAGCCAGAAACCTAAAGTAGCCTGGTCAAAGATATGAGAGTTTTAGGCCTGAAATAATGCTGATGATTGTGTAAAGATTGTCACATTTAGATTCAAAACTTGTTTCAGTTCTGGTACATCTGCTTCAACAAAGCCATCTGTAAGCAGTTACAGTTAAGATTGTATAGATAATAGTGTATATATTTCAATACTCAATGACAAATTGTTTAACTACTTTCTGTAACATGGCTATAAGAGTTTTAAGCAAGACTGATTATCACACCTCTCAGTCTGGTTATTTTCCCATTTTAAAAAAGTTTGAATCCACCCTCAGGAGTTGAATTTTTAATTTTCAGTTTCTTTGAACATTTTGCTCAGCTGTTCAACTAGTGCTACAAGCTCAGGGTTTCCCCCAAGTGATTCAATTTGTTTATAGGCTTCAGATTCAAGCTCTTTCAATGTATTCCGGGTGTACTCAAAGGAACCCACATTTTCAAGGTAATGTACACAGTATTTTTTTATATCTATGTTCTCTGTCCTTTGACGTAAAATGTTTTGCACCTGAGTACTTTCAGGTCTTGACCAAATTGCATGAATGGTTGGAAATGAGAACTTGCCCTCAGTTAAGTCTTCACAAAAACTCTTGTTTTCACTATATTCTTTGGAGTGCAAGTTGGCATAGTCATCTCTTATTTGGAAGAAGAGGCCAAGTGTGTTAAGAAGTGGCTTTAAGTCTTTTTTATAACTTGAGAACAGCTGCATAAGGCCTACAGCTAATCCAAACAGACCACCCGTCTTTTGCAGTACCATAGCTTTATATTCAGCTTCTGTAGGACAGGTGTAAGTATCCCTCCAGTAAATATCCAAGCCTTGGCCTTTATGAAGTTCCAGAAGTTGACGGGTAAAAACTTTAACAGCATCTGGATGATCAAGGGTTAAAACCTTCTCTAAGCCAAGGAAATACACATAATTAGCACAGTTGATTACAGATGGAATTCCATAGATACTGTGTGCCACTGGAAAGCCCCGTCGTAGCTTTGAGTTATCTTCAATATCATCCACAAGCAGACTTGCATTGTGCAACATCTCTGTCACTTCGATGATAACCTATTACAAGAACAGAAAATTATTATGTGTCCCACTGTAATTTAACCTCCATTTTCACAAGACCTTATTTAAGGTGGGTAAGGTTTTAAAGAACAATATTCTCTGTCACTGAGGTTCCCCTTTGCTTTTACTGTTAATACAGATTTATGATTATCTTCATCAGACAGTTTGCTGTAAATCCTGGACCATGTGGCCTGTCTTTTCGGTAATGTTTTCAGATTCAAAGTGAACTTACTCCCTGAAGTGTTTCCACTTGCATGCTCCTTTTCATTATTGTTACAGTTCTAAAATATGCCATGGTCTAGAATGCAGTAACTGTTATTAGAAACATGAATAGAGGAAAAGAAAAGCACCACAGTGTTGTGACAAGTTTAGATTTACTAACCTGAGATCTCCCAAAGTCAGTTCTTGAGAGTGTCAGGTACCATCCATTAACACATTTGTCTCATAAACCTTGTTCTGATAAGTGGAGTGAGTTCATCTTTCTTTCCCCACACTTCATGTTTTATCTTCAGTACTGAGCTCTTAAAGGACAGACTATTGTCTCTGAATCACCTTGGCAGAAAGGCAAGAGCTACAACTTCTTTTGGGAAGCTTCCTACACACTTAATACTTGTTACTAGGTAGACTAATATCATACACCACCTGAGGTATGCAGTAAACTGTTCAGAACATCAACCTTGTAGCTGACTAGAGTTGACTAAAAGTGAACCTTAACAATTCCAAAGCAGGACAATTCAACAAGAAGAGTTTTAACATGATATACTGCTTTTATTGCACAGCTGCTATGCAAGGAACAGGTATACTCAGCACCTGTTTAAATGAAAATAAATTTAAGCATGTAAAACTGCATACTGTATAACTCGCTGCAAAACATATCCGATTATTTTAAAGCGAATGAACCAATTACACTAGTTACAACTGCTCTCAGCCAATATTCATCAAAAGAACTGCTTCTAAAAAATACTAAGGCCACCATTAAATAGTGGTAAGTACCTAGTACGGTCCTATTTGCTGGGTGCTGAAGGAAAAAGAGGGACTTCACTGCATGCATTCTCTTGAGTAACAAGTCACATAGTGTTCAGTGACCACTGTCCCAAAGATTAAAACCCAAACCCAAGCAATCTAATTGTTTGTCCAAGACACGACTACAAGAACAATCTACTTAAGAAGCACTAATGACTCATCTACAAGTTAGAAGACAGCCCTACTTTGACCTGTAAACATACATTGTTGCCCATCGACCAGAGTACTTACTGAAAGCAACTTTGTACACCTATTTGTCTGAATATTCGTTTAGTCCATTATGTCATTCTCAGTACTATCAGGAAAGTTTCCCTGTATTCTGTGAATTCCTTGGATAAGTCTATTCTAGCATTTCTCTTCCTAACCTACTTCATATCACTGTCAGTTTCATGAACTTTTGCAGCTTCTAGATGTTAAGGTTTAATTGAAATAGAGCTGCATGACTGCGTTTGAATTAAGTTATCTTGTGAACTTAATAAAAGACAGTGACAAAAATGCTTCAAAGTTGAAAGTAAGGAGTGAGAAAGTTTAGACAGCTTATTTTAGAAGACATCAGGAAGTAGCCCAAGGAAATGAAAAGACTGCTTTTCATAATGAAAGCTGAAGAACCAGTACAGAGTGTTACGCTTTCTTACAACCTAAGCCTATCTGATCAGTGGCTGCTGCATTATCACTCCAACACATAGATTTCTACCTCCTTACCTGCAATAGCTTTAAAATTTGTTTGGCTCTGTATAGGCCATTTCAATGCCTTATTAGAAGAAAGTTCATCTGACAAACCCAGTGTTCTCTAATTCCACAAGCTGAAGTGTCTCAGTGCAGCATCAGATAAGTACTAGAGATGCAGTAAGTGGGGAAAAAAATGAGACCACTTGGCTGGGGAAAAAAGTGAAATGGTGGCAGCCAATAAAGAGTAAAATGAACTACTAAAGAACAGTATCCTCAACTATATTAATCTAAATAAACTACATGAAGAAAAATTATCTAAGGTAAAAAAATGCCCTATAAGGAATGCCAGAATTCAGATTTTTAATAAAACAAATACAAATAGCTGGAAGGGAATCAGGCTGCTAGACAACTGGGACATCTTAAGATTCTGAGACACACCAAAAAGATGACTAGAGGTGGTCCTGCAGACCTCAACAACTTTAAGTTGTTAAAATTAGTAGAAGTATGCACAAAAGCAGTAATAATTGTAGCAGGATGCAGATTAAAAGATGACAGGGTCTTGGTTTTGTCCTCAAATGACCTGAAGAATAAAAATATTGAAGTTCCATCAAACACAGCTTAAGTGGTAAAGGAAAGACTAAAGCATCAGTTTTCTTCATAAAGATAACTGGAACAAGTGATCTAAGTTTTCAATAACAGTTACATGATTATCAGTTTAAAAGTGGCAGGTAGAACTTGTAACTTCTGTTCACAGAAGCACTGCAGCTTTAGTTTACTACAGTACATGAGAGAAGATGGACCTGTACTGTCAGGGGTGCTCAGCATAAGGGCAAGAGTCAGACTGCAGCATAAGAAATCCCAACTGGACAAAACATAAGAGTTTGATATCATGTAGGTGTTCAGCATGGGAAGACAGTCCCAGAGAGTCTGCAGAATCTACATCCTCAGATTTTTCAAAACTCAGCAAGGCCCTCAAGAAGCCTAATAGCAGGGGGTTGCCCTACTAACTTCCAGAGGCTTCTTCCAGTTCAAATTCTGATCCATGATATTAGACTAAACCCATGCACACAATACACAGGTTGCTATATAACACATTTTATTTGGATATATAGCTGAGACAAAGGGTAAGAAGTGTCTAGCTAGAAGCCAGAATAAATCTTAAAAGTTATACAGACATGTTAGAAAATAGAAGAGTTACAAAATGATGAAAACAGCCTCTTCCTTCATTGTTTAAATCCCCTCATTTTGCTACTTGAGAACTATGAAGTGCCACTCTTAAGCCACCCTAAAGAGGACTTCTTCAAAAACTCTAAAGGTACTTTTGCCTACAATTAATGAAATTAACTAGGGACCAGCTGGGTAGGAGTCAAAAGACATAATTGCTTATTTTAATTCCTTACATTGCCTTGGATACAAGGCTTCTTTTCCACCCCTGATATGCAGTTTGGCAAAACTGTAGTCTAAGATTTTTCTTCTTTTCATTTGATAAACCACAGCACTCAAATACACAGCCATACATCTTGTACAGATTTGTCCAACAGAAAAGCAAAAGGAAAGGAGAATTCCTAGTCTAATGCTTCTCATTAGGGAGTAAGGACTCTAGACTGTATAAGACAGACAGTTTTAGGTCCTGAACAAGGAGTGGTTTATAAAGTTGATTTAACTGCTGTCTTTGATATTTTTGTATGAAAATCACAAGATTTTATTTTCAACCACTATATTTGTGTAGTTTACAAGGTAACCGTCTAGCTTTTTTTTCCTAAGTCATTAAAAACTCAGTGTTAATAACTCAGTTATGTTAAGTGGGTTACAATGGTACCTGCTTATCTACAACTTAAAAGGTTGAGCACACTTGTAAAGTTAACCATTCTATATAAGACAAGTCATGTTTTCCTGAAAGTTTACTTTAATACATACAGAAACTAGTGCATTTAAGATTTCTCATCATTTATGCTATGTAAGAGAATCATCTGTTATTAGTAGTCTTGGAAGAAAGGTGACAGCCCTTTAAAAATAATTAGCCAGTACCTGTATTTTTTCTTCTGGAACATTCAGCCAGTGATTAAAGGCCTGTGACAGTTTGGTTCTCACTTGCTTACCTACAATATAAATATTATAGGCATTTATAACAAAAAATAATCACATAAAGTTCATTAGAGACAACCATTTGTCCTAACAGCTATAGCTGATTTGAGACCAGTAAGCTGATCAGCATGGTAACTTTAAAGCAGAAAATATATCAGAGTAAGCATGTAGCTTGTTTCCTCATTGCATAAACATCACAATTATCAGCAACTTCAGTTTTAAAGATTTCACAGTAATATGCAAAGCACATATTTACTAGCAGTTACTGTATTTCATTTTAGCAGTCCAAGAAGTGATCCTGAGTGTGGTGGTAACCTGTACAGATCAGCTTACTACTTCTGAAAGTAAGTTTGCCAGGCTTGTTGATTTTGTGTATATAACAGATTAACCAGTTTCAATTAGGATTCATTATTAGTTGAAGATACAAATATTTGTTGATTATCTGTTTCTCTCCATTTTTAGGTCTTTCTCCTATAGTACTCTTCACTTGCTACTGACAATTTGTAAAACACAAAAGTGACATTTGACATCCTTACTAAATAACTCTAATGAAAATCTGAACAGAACATTCTGAACAGAATAGAACTTTCCAAGAATTCAGACATTTATCTTATACCTGAGAAGTCTACCTATGAATAATAGGATTTGTTCTGCTTTGGCTAAATCTGGTTTGCTGGAGCCAAGTAGTCGCCCTGTTTCATAGGAATGAAAGACAAGATCAAAAGTCCAAGTTTAGTGTTACAATAAGCATTGCTATTCAATCCAGATACATTTTACATGGAGTTAATTTTAACAGAAGTTAACCTATGTGCCTATAAATTACTGATACCAGCTTTCTTTAATAAATTGCTAGGAGTCATGTACAAATATTTATTCAGTGTCTACTAAGGATCAATGTGAAATAAAGTCACCCCCTACCCACCCTGAGACAATGCTGCTCTGAACTTTGAGAAGCTCAGCTATGTACAAGATCTTTGAATAACTGCAAGACAGGTTTAGACAAACAGCTCTACATATGTAGCTCACATCAACAAGGCCTTTGGAAAAAGTTTTAAATAAACTTCAAAGCAGTGCAACCTAGACAGTGGGTTCCATATTACTTGTCTCACGATCTACTGACAGATATAACCTAACGATTCTGCAATATTAGTCCTTATGTTGATGATGCCATCTTGCCCATAGCACTGAAGAAATTTCAACATTTGAATTTCTCCCTAAGGCTTCTCTATTGCTGTGTGACCAGCACATACAGAACAGAATAATAAAAATGGGTAGATTCACTTGCAGCGATGTACACTGGAGAAATTGGACTTTTTCCTTTGGAAATTGGATTTTTCCTTTTCTAATTAAATCACTACCAGGTAAGCAATAGCTTCGTGGTTTGGGCTCTGTAGCAAGGGTGATAACCTTCCTCGCTGGCTCAAAGGGCCTTAATTTTTGTCTCAGTTCTCAAATATTTCCACTGCTTCCTATCACCACCATCTTTTAGGTTTACATTAGAAGAGCCTAACAAAAAGGTGCTTTTTCCCCCCCCCCCCTTTGTTTTCTGTGCTCAGTTTTAAACACTAACAGGTTTCTGGAGGAGGGAGGGAATGGTTTGTGTCTCAAAGGGCAGAACAGATATTTTAAGCTCCCCATATCAGGCTTGCTCTCTATCAGGAAAGTACATATCTGGTTCTAAATTATTTTTTTAAAAACCATTTAAGTCAATAATTTGCTCACAAGTTCACTGTTTCAACACAGGTAACCACAGCTCAAATTTCAATACAAAATTAGAGTAGTGCCCAAGAGTTTAAACATCTCTTACATTAACTAAGAACCACCACTAATTCAAGTTAGACCTGCTTCTGGCATTACCTCCTGCAGATACTAAGGATTTAAAAACACTTCAGACACTCAGACCTCCCCCCTTTTCCCCACATGGTTAGATCAGGTTTTGGCCAGATTGGTTCCCTGATCTGACTCACTAAACACTTGTGACCATCAGTACTGCACAAGGGAGGGTCCAAATGCTGTGCATCAGAGGTTCAATATTTTATTTTAAAATAATTGCATGAGTTAACTGAGGAGAAAAGATTGATCAAAAGTGTTGAAGATAACTGTTACAAACATACGCCAAACTGTATGGCTTGCCAGTTAAGTACTGACAAATATTTTAGTACATCCATAAGAAAACTACTCAGAGATAACACTAAGGAAGCGTACCTTATCTATAGCTGTTTATTCACATCTGAGTTACATTGATACTGACAACACCTACTTTTTTACATTAGGCAGATAATTCTGTTTTTCTGAATGTGTTTCCTAGAAAATATGCTTATGGAATGCTGGATGTTCAGCAACAAGTGTTATTCCATCTTGAGCAACATGACTACTAGCACACAATTTAAATGGATTATTAACATGCACAGTGGATTTAGCCACGTCAGTTCCTTAGTACAGGCAGCGTTTGAATTGTTAGACTTGTCTACCTTGACTAGCAAAGCTGTCTAGACACTGACTATACAGAGACTGTTTTTTTTCCTTGAATAGTGAAACATCAGTCTTTCCTTTTATAGGTGCAGATTTGCTTGCGTGAGCCCCTTTAAAGGAACATTATTGCTACATAAATGCTATTTTACCTTGCTCTGAAGTCAATCCTACCTGGTCTATGTGATATCACAGCAGTTTTCTGTATGCATGTTTTATGCCTACAGCCATGCTATTACAACAAAAGAAAACACACCCCCCCCCCCCCCTCCATTCCTTGCCATACCTCTCTTCTCCCCAAACTAGAGAGGACAACACTTCAGGAACACTAGGACAAAATTAAAAGGAGTAAAACTTAACACTGGCATAACTATCCAGTCTCTTCACTGTCACACGACTGCTCTGTTAATTGTTCTAAGAAGGCTATTGTAAAACTAAAGAATATCGAGGTCTAATGTCCAAAATTAGAAGCTCTACCTACTGTATAGAGCTATAATAACAGACATTACTGCACCAAGCTTTTATCAAAGTTATGCTGAATGCATTTGGTTTAGTCTGCTTAAGATCCCAATTTTACCCAAATCAAACAGCAACTATGGAAAGCTTTTCTCCTTGGCAATATGGGGTGGAAAAGGCAACAAGAAGCATTCAGAACATAATAAATTCTCTCTGAAGAAATTCCTTCTACAGATAAAAATGTAAAACCCTTACCCTTGAAACTAAGATCAAGTTAGATTAAAGATGTTGTAATGAGGACAATCCCTCCCACCTCTTTAGACAGATGAGATGCTTCTCTAAAAGAAAAAAATAAAATCAGCTTGACTTACTCTCTATATAGACAATTGTTCTTTTGACAGGGTACAGACCTAAAACCCACAGCCTCCAGCTCTGGATAGGCTCCTGATTAGTATTTCTTCACTCTTGCTGCATTTAAGTGACCACAGACTATGCCCTTAGGGCAGAACCCCACTTACAGTGACAGTACATAAAAGAGCTAGAACAGCATGGGAAAGAGCAGAGGGACTATTAACCTTACCCTCATTAGAGCCACACTAAGCTAATTCAACTCATTACCCCAGCAGAAAACTGTCTGCTTTTTGCTAGGTTAGCTTTCTGCCAGCTTTATGTACTGAGTCAGCTTATGAATTTGGTCTGCCAGAGTTAGCACAGGGTAAGCAGCAGATGCTGAGAGCCAGGGGAAGGGGGCATTGCCCTTCTGAAGGAAGCAAGCTACTACATTGCCTCAGCTATATTGTACACATTCACCCTTAGCTCTGTCCTCTGATGGATATGGGCTAAATGGATGAATTCCCCAAGCAGGCCTCCCCATACAGCTACAAGAACACTACAGACAGCATAAGTAAACTGCAGGAAGGCAAGCAAAGAGAGCAGGCCCATACACTTTTAAAACCTAGGCAGTCACTTTTGACTGATTAAGGTCACTGTAGAATTGTCTAGTTTAACTCCCCTGCTCAAAATATGGTTAACTAGTCCAGGATTGTGATCCTGATTTTTGCCTTGTTCCCTCCTCTCAGGATCCTGAATGCCATCATCCCATAGTCACTGCAGACAAGGTTGCCCCCAGTCTTTGTGTCGTAACAATTCTTCTTTGAAGTGTGATGTCCAGCATAATACCTTCCTTCATTAGCTCCTTGATCACCTGTGTTAGCAAGTGGACATCAATGCATTCCAGAAATCTCTTGGATTGCCTGTGCCCTGCTGTCTTGCTTCTTTTACCAGACACTGAGGTAGCTGAGGTCTCTCATGAGGACCAGGGCCTGTAAACATGAGGCATCTTCTAGTTGTCTGAAGGCCTCATCTACTTCTTCCTGCTTGGACAGTCAGTAGCAGAGACACACTATAGTGTCACCCCTATTGATCTGCCCTCTAATCTTAACCCATAAGCTCTCAACAGATTTATCATGCTCCATGCAGTTCAGCTGCTCTTTCACATGAAAGGCAACTCCCACTCCTTGCTATCCCAGGCTGCCTTCTAGGCAGTCCACATCCATCCACTGCAGCACTCCAGCTGTGCAAGCTATCCCATATCAGATACCCCAATACAACTGCAGCCCTGCAACTGCATGCAGACCTCTTACCTCCTCCTGTTTATTCTCCATGCTGTATGGAGAATACACACTCCATTTGTGTAGAGGCACTTCAGAGAGGCACCCAGTCCTGCAGATTCCCTAGAATCACAGAATTGCAAGGGTTGGAAGGGAGATCATCTAGTCCAAGCCCCCTGCTAAAGCAGGTTCTCCTAGAGCATGTTACACAGGACTTCATCCAGGCAGGCTTTGAATATCTCCAGAGAAGCAGACTCCACAACCCCTCTGGGCAGCCTGTTCCAGTGCTCTGTCACCCTCAGAGTAAAGAAGTTTTTCCTCACATTCAACTGAAACCTCTTATGTTTCAGTTTGTACCCATTGCCCCTTGTCCTATCGCTGGACACCACTGCAAAGAGTCTGGCTCCATCCTCGTGACTTCCATCCTTAAGATATTTGTATGTGTTGATGAGGTCCCCTCTCAGTCTTCTCTTCTTCAGGCTGAACAAGCCCAGCTCCCTCAGCCTTTCCTCATAGGGGAGACGCTCCCGTCCCTTTATCATCCTAGTTGCTCTCCTCTGGACTCTTTCTAGGAGTTCCTTATCTTTCTTGAACTGGGGAGCCCAGAACTGGACACAGTATTCCAGGTGGGGTCTCACCAGGGCAGAGTAGAGGGGGAGGATAACCTCCCT